GTCAATAAGTTCAAAAGTTTTGGACCCACCAACATAATGAAGCTACCCAGGCCAATTTGCCAGTACTGCATACCAAATCCATAGGATACCTGACCTCTGAGTCTATTTTCTTATCCATAAGATTCTTTTAAATCTAAACTGTTTTCTTTAAAGACTTTGAAAAGTCTTTACCTAGGCCCATTTCTCAAGTAACACTTATCACAATTTACTGTTAAATGTCTTTGTTGGTCCCCCACACTGGATTGTGAGCTTGAGGTAAGAATCCAGACTCTTATTTTTGGACACCCAGTGTATAGCACAAAGCCTACCTTACTGAATATCTAACTACTCAAGTCAATTGATGCACTTTAAAAAAGTAAACAAGCTGTTATTTCCTATATGGACAAAAGGTAGGTAGAGCATATCTGACCTATAAAATACAGAGTGTATTTATAGTCTAATTTAGATTATTTTTTGGGAAAAAAAAAGTCATCTCTGCTCTAATCAGGAGGCAACACTACATTTTTTGACTAATATTTTTCAGCTACCAATCATATTTATAGAGTCAAACTGAGTTTAAACAAGCCTTTGGAATGCTTTCTGTCCATCTCTTCCATTCAAAAGTCCAATCAGTTACACAAAAAGCCAAACACAGTATATTAAGTAACAAAAATACCCATCATTTATGGTCTGCAAAGCACTTAGGGATTCATATAAATTCATTTGATCCTAAGTATCCTATGAGGTAGGTGACACTGTCCCTTTTTTAGGTGCAAAGAGTAACTTAACTTGCTCAGGGTCACAAAACTATATATAGCAGATATGAGAGCTAAGATAACATCAATTTTAAAAGTAATGTTCTTTCCTCTATGTAGCACTATCTCTTAAAGATCAATTATGATTCTCAAAGCACACATAAGGAAAGGACAGAATTGTCAACTCTTTTGAAGAACCATACAAAGTTATTACAGTAGTTTTAGAACTAGCCTATTAAGTAATTTATTTAGCTTTAAAAATCCAAATAAAATCAGGGAGTTAAAAACAGCATTAAAAACATATGCCAAAAACTCATCAAACAAAAACTGTCAAAGAAGTTTTAAGGTAAGGCTGTCAGTTGAGAGCAAGCAATAATAACAGGGCTCATATCTACTTTACTGTAGCCTTCAATCTCTGTGTCCTGGTCAAGGCCATTCAGAAATAACTTTCCTTACTGAGTCTCTTAGGGAAAACAATAAACTATCCAGTGCAGAAAAAACTTACCTGACAAAAGAAGTGGCCAGACTTTTTTTTTTTTTTAAGTCAACTAAACTACAATCTGCTGGGAATGACTCGTTCTCATGAGACCACTTATCATTTTCATCTCATTATAAGTTCTAGAAATATGTAACTATAGCTCTATTAGAAGACCTTTTAGTAGAAATCAGTAATATGACTGGCTTTTAGCACACATATCACAAAACAGAAAGCACTTTCAGTCTATTTTTTCTCCTTCAGTATTCCCTGCAGAAGAACTCCCTCAGAATTCAGCTCCAACTGTTAGCTTCTCCATCATGACTTCAGATGACTGCTAGGATCATACTCACGTAGAGATGATCAAAATGGCTCTAAAGCTTACAAGTTGCTATTATATTACCACAATTTCTTGCTCCCTAACTAGTGTGACTGTTATTTTTCCCTAGAAAAATGTAGAAAGCAAGGAACTTAAAAGTCCTTTTACAAGGACATTTTGGTCTTTTCTTTGGTATTCTCATTTAAAGGACAACTGCTTAGCTTGTTGACACCAAAAGAGCAGGTAACATAACAAGATGTTATGATTTAGAACTCTCTCCCTACTTACATAAGTACATTCTCTCATTTCCTCCTTACCAACAAAATATGGAAAATCTACAGAAAAAAATCACATGATAAACAAAAATCAACAGAGGTCATAACTGCATTCTTTTAGATGAAGAGCTTAGGATTGCTTGCCACAGAGTAACTGATGAACTTTCTCCCAATATGAAGCAAGCAGTAGAAAAACTGGACTTTTCACAAGCTTGCTTCCTCATGCATACCAGCAATATCATCCTTACAGGACAGAATGAGTATACCCCCAATAAATTACATCTATTTTCAAAATTAACTAAAATTCCTGTTCAAACACATTTAATAGGACACATAAAATGAGAAGTTAAGGTAAATGATGTACTTATAGAAATCTATCACTCCTTAGAGTCAGTCTATCTGGGTTTGATTCCTGGTTCTGGTACTTACCTTGTGTTCTGTGTGTGTCAGAACTTGGAAAAACTTATTCTGCTCTGCACCTTAGTTTCTTCATCTGTAAAATGACACTAACTATCTCAACACTCAATGGTTGTTATGAAGACTGAGTTACATGTGCAAAGTGCTTAAAACAAAGCTTTTACATAGTACGAGCTAGAAGTGGCAACTATAAACTAATTGCCTGATGTTACCTCATCACTTGGTGAATAAATCACAAATGAAGGAATTCTATATACCAGAGGTGCCAAAAAAATGTATACACATTTTAGATGTTCACAGTAATCAGAAGTGTCTGGACGCTGATGGTAACCACTTTCAGCACCTCTTGTAATTACAGAAGTCAACATGACTTGTATTCATCTTGTTATTGGTATATATTGAGTATTACAATTTTAATAGTTTTTTCTTTTTTAAAAACATGTATACATTTTTGGGGCACCCTCTGTATATATGTCTATAATATACAACATATATACTATGTCTAATCTATATATGTATATATTCATGTTTATGCTCAAATAACATCTATTTAACACCTACTATATCACAGATGCTTATTTTAATTAGTTTGTCACAATGTATCAAAGGCTGCATTACCATTTGCACTATACAGATGAGAAAATGCCTCAGAAAAACTGAATTTGCTATATGCAAAGTGAAAAGTTCAATAATAATACATCATTTTTTGAAAGCAAAATGTGCACAAAGGAGGGTTGGGTCCCATCAGAATGTAACTGGAGAAAAACGAAAGCAAATAACAGTGAGCCCTCTGGTTAAAAAAACTAAACTAAAAGCGTAGATTTAACAATTTAGTTTGTAAAAAGGCCTCAAGACAAATCTGGAGATAAGAAAACTAAGAATTAGAGATTGATTAATATCCTGAAGATCACACAGCTAGAAAATACTGCAAGAACTGAACCGAATTTACCTGACTCCAGGTCCAGTGCTCTTCCTGTTTCCTGTTTCTGTATCCTGTACAGCTAAATGGGCAAAATGCACTTTTTGCAGTGGCCCAAATATCTGAAGACTCTGCCCAGAGAACCAGTATCATGAGAATTTCCTCAGCCTGGTTTTACAGAAGCTGCATCCCTAATCTATAGAGCTCCAATTCTAAAATGGCTTCAATATAACACAAGCATTGCATGATGGGAAATATAGGATTATAGGGTAAGAGTCATACTCCAGAGGCTGACAGTCCATAAGTATTTGCTACTGATGAACGAAGATATACACCCCGAAAACTAGGTGTGTGTGGTCTAGGTCAAATCACCTCATTTCTCACAGACTTCATCTTCAAGATGGGAGAATGGCTTCTTATCTCACTGAAGGGAGAGGTGAGGAAAACAATTCAGCTGTTGCAACTGGATTATTAGCCTTCCATTTTGAAGGCCACATTAAAATTTCTAATTTAAGTCCAATTAAATGAACAGGTTTTACACTCACCAAGCTGTGTGCTACTAAGGACATGAATCCAAGAAAAATGAGAACTCTGACAACTCAGATATCCCTAAGTAAGAAATGGGGTGCACCAGAAGCAGTCACTAAGAACCAACTAATACTGATACATATACATTTCCAAGAGGAAAATGCAAAAAGTCATGGTGTCCAGTTCTATAAACTGCATTTGTGCGTAGTTTCATAATAACAACTGAGAGATTAAGAATGCTTCACCTTTCTGGTTTGGCTCCCAGGGCTGGCTGATTTTATATGATCATAATATCATCTTGCCAAATTCCATCTCCCACACAGGGCAAGTAAAATCAGAATCTGATGCTATCTAGCCTTACTAAAGAGAAATGCAGTGAAGGCAATGACAAGAGACATGCATTCTGCAGAAAGGTTGGCAAATATTACATTGGAGTTCTCCATTTGTAATAAAGATACACTCACCTTCTGAAGCAAAGGGGTCCAAATCACTCCCACCTCTTTTTCCCAACGAGGGAGGCACCAGGCAAATTTCAGACAGAAAAACGCGCTTACATAGAGTATGGGGAAATTTTGGATGAAGACACAAAAGCTTCTGGCATTAAAAAGAGGATAAATACCATGGGAAAATATTCCGATATCAGCCTCTAAGATTTTTTCCTGGGGATCTGGCCTGACTCAGTAACCAGTTTCAATAAATGTATTTTCTTGATTCAACCCCAATCCTGTTCTTCGGGAGAATCTTGGGTCTGCCAGGTTCCATAACCAGTGAAGGATGATGAAATGGCTTTACTGCAAAGTGGGAGGGGGTTTCCTCCTTGCTGTCTCCCAAGGTTAAACCACTTATTCTTCTAGGAAGAGTCAAACAGGGACACTGGGGTTCAAGAACTTACCCGCCTTTGATTAAATTTTAATTTTTTGGAAACCGGAAAGCTCGGAGCAGGGGTGACAGGGCTGAAAGGGACGGTTCTCGCCGACCAAGACGCAGGGAGGGGTAGTGTGGAGATCGAAGCTAGACAGCAAGGGAGTGTCCGGGGTCCACGACTCCACTGTCCCTTCCCGCGCGGTACCAAGCCGCGCCCCGCAGGCCAGGCAGGGCCGCAGGCGGTGAGGGAGGTCCGAGCCTCTCCAAGAAGCGAAGGGCCCGGCCCCGGAAACAGGGAGGGGCCGCGGCGAGGCCGGGCCCGCGCCTCAGGCTGCCGCGCGGGACCGAAAGGGCAGCGCGCCGATACCCCCTGGGGCCCACCCACTGGGCCGCTGTCATCGCAGCGGCCTGAGAGGGGCTTCGTGCTTGGGCCCCCGGGGGCCCTGGGCGGGCCCCGCACCGCACTCACCGTGGAAGGTCTACAAAGGGCAAAGACGCTTCCAAGAGAAGCTCCAAACTCAGTGACCGCTTCCTTCCCAAGCCCACTCCTCAGGTGGCGGCGGTGGAGACTGCAGCGGCTGCAGTGGCGGCAGCGGCGGCAGCTACCCCGGCTCCGGAATCGGCGGCGGCAGTGGCGGCAGCTCCACTTCCGCTCCGGGCACCACTTCCGCTCCGGCCCTAGCCCCGCCCCACCCCGCGCCTTTTCCTCATTGGGCAAGCAAGGCACGGGGTTGCCCCGGACGCCCAGGAGGGGCGCTGATGGACGGGAGGAGGAAGAGGAGTGGAGGGCTAGGATGCTGCGTGCTGGGAAGGGCGCTTTGCCCGGGGAGGGAGCCGGGAGGATAGGCGAAGGTGAAGGAAATGGGGCAGGGGCGTGGGAAGAGGAGGTAAGAGGAGTTAGGGCGGAGCTGGGGGTGGAGGTCAAGGAACTGGACGTGTGGGGAGGATTAGGAGTGAGGTTTAGGTTGGGGATTGCCCTCTTTTCTTAGGCTGGAAACTGCCAGGGCCAGACCCGGCGACTTTGAAGGTCGTGGGTTCCCACCCCACCCCAAAAGTAATCCTGTATCAGAGGCTGAAGTCAGTCCCCTTTTAATGTGTGCTTTGGGAATACTGGATCTAGGGAAGAACAGAAATTGTTCATCCCTAAATTTTCACGTAATCCTCCTTTCAAGCCTTCATGGTAGTGTTTCCTCCTTTGGTAGACTGAAGAGGCCACAGGAAGAGGTACCAGAAATCAAACTTGCAAAGATGTTTTTTAAAAACTTATGCATATGATTTCTTCATTTCTTGGGATGATACCCCCTTCCCAAGACTGGTAGAAGAAGTTTCAGAAAAGGAAACAGGCCTGCATGATTCTCCACTACCATGACTGCCTTCACCATTAGCAACACCTACTCCTTTCCAGGTAGTTCGATCTTAAATCTTAAACCCAGTCCTTTAAATTGACTCTCACCGTCACTCCCTCCCTTTCACTTATTCTTTCAACAGATGTTGAGCAAGCTTTCTACTTGGTGCTGGAGACAGCAATGAACAAGACAGACGGGATTCTGCTATCTTGAAGTTTACAGTCTGGTAGGAGAAAAAAACCAAAAAAAAAAAACAGGCCTTTGTGTCTTTACTTTACCCTAACTTAGCTTAATGATAGACTTCTAATTCCCCACACTCTACTCAGCTCTGCCCCATCAACTGCAAAGCAATCTTTTAAAAATATTATTCTAATCGTGTCCTGTTCTTGCTTAAATCCTTTGGTGATCACTTAGACTTGGAAGACTATATGTAGTTCTCTGAGCGTGACAGTTGAGGTTCTCCAGAAGCTACTTTTCAGCCATTACCTGCTATTTCTCCGCCATCATAAATACCCCAGTTTAATTAGATGACTCCTTACCCTCTCATTGTTCCATTTTCAGTATTTCTAACCTGTTTGACTTTGTTGCCAACATTTTTTTTAACTGAAAGATTTCTATATAAACAGAAATCTGCATCTCTGCTATGTCTGGCAATACTGTGTCCCCATTTCTGTGGCAACAATTGACTGAAGTTAAGGAGAGGTGCATACTCTAGATTGGACATGGACTTTCCAAAATGCCAGTATCTCCTCCTGATTTGGGTCTGCTTTCCTTAATTATGTTATCTATTGTATAGGCATTTATGCCATCGACCCCTGTACTACCTACCTTTTAAGTTGAAAGATTGAGAGTATGTTGTGTAATGTAAACAGCTTGGATTTGAGTCAAAACCAGTGGATTTGAATCCTGGAGAAATTTCCTAGTGCAAAAATTTCCCCATGAGAACTGTCTTTGGCAGACCAAAGACCAGTAATCCAGAGACTACTCAGGTCGAAGTAAGCTTTAAAGTGATGTGACTGTGCCTTATGCCCCTATCCAGAGAATAGACTAGTAGATCAGAAGGTCATAATGATTATACCACAAATGACATCAGTGCATTGAGGGAACAGAAGTGCCCTTTGTCAGGCATCCCTGGTGCCTGCTAAAAAATTACATGGATTAGCTTCTTTCACCATCTCTGCATTCCAAGCTAGAGGTCAGCAAACCACAGCTACTTTTTTTTTTTTTAAGTCAGAGTCTCTGTCGCCCAGGCTGGAGTGCAGTGGCATGCTCATGGCCACTGCAGCTTCAACTTGCTAGGCTCAAACAATCCTTCCATCTCAGCCTTCCAAGAGCTGGAACTACAGATGCATACTACTACGCCTGGCTAATTTTTTTGATTTATTGTAGAGATGAGGTCTCACCAAGTTGCCCAGGCTGGTCTTGAACTTCTAGGCTCAGGCAGGCCTTGTACCTCTGCCTCTCAAAGTGCTGGGATTACAGACATGAGCCACCATGCTCAGCTTCTGCAATTTTAATCTACCCAGTTTGTGGTACTTTGTTATGGCAGCCCTAGGAAACTAATAGACCTATTGAGAGACATCTTGATCCAACTTTTGACAATTTTTACCACTATAACCACTTACGTGCCCACTTATGTGCAGATTTTTGTGTGGACATAGTTTTTCAGCTCATTTGAGTAAAATCCTAGGAGCCTGACTGTTAGATCTTAGGTTAAGACTATGTTTAGCTTTGTAAGAAACTACCAAACTGTTTTCCAAAAGGGTTGTACCATTTTGCATTCTTACCAGCAATAAAAGAGAATTTTTGTTGTTCCACATTCATGCCAGCATCTGGTATAGTGAGGGGTTTTGTTGTTGTTGTTTCTGGATTTAACCATTTGAATAGGTATGTAATGGTATCTAATTGTTGTTTTAATTTGCAATTCCCTAATGACATAAAATGTTGAGCATCTTTTCATATATTTATTTACCATCTGTATATCTTTCTTGGATAGGTATATGTTCAAATTTTTTACCCATTTTAAATTGGATTGTTTGTTTTCTTACTGTTGAGTTTTAAGAGTTCTTTGTATACCAGTCCTTTATCAGATATGTGCTTTGTAAAGATTGTCTTCTAGTCTGTAGCTTGTCTTTTATTCACAGTGACCTTGCAGATCAGGAGCTTTTAATTTTAATGAAATCTAACTTACCAATTTTTCTTTCATAGATCATATTTTTGGTGTTATATCTTTAGCCTAAAGAAAGAAACAGAGGCAAAATTAATATAGAGTTTATTCGGACCAAGTGTGAAGCCTATAAACAGGGAAACACTAGGAAGTGCTCCGGAGAACAAAGGAGAGGCTCAAATTTTTTCAAGAAAAATGGATGACCTAGGAGAGGGGACGATTACAAAAATTGTTTTTCAGGAATTCTCATTGGTTTACAGAGATTAATATTGATTAGTGATTAGCTATACATTGTTGAAGTATAGAGTATGAGCTATGATGTACAGCACAGGGAATTGTTAGGTTAATTTATAGCTATTGGTGGCAACACTACCAGGTACTGTATAGCAGGCAGTTTTGAAACGATTACCTAGTTTTTGTTTTGTTTTTTCGTTGTTTTTTGTTTTTGTTTTTGTTTTTTGAGTTGGAGTCTCACTCTGTCACCCAGGCTGGAGTGCAGTGGCACTTTTACGGCCACCCCAGCATCAACCTGCTGGGGTCTGGCGATCCTTCCACCTCAGCCTTCCAAGTTGCCGGAACTACAGGAGCGCACTACCATGCCCTGCTAATTTGTGATTTATTGTAGTGACGAGGCCTCATCAAGTTGCCCGGGCAGGTTTCAAACCTGCAGGCTGAGGCAATCCACTCGCCTCGGCCTCCCGAAGTGCTGGGATTACAGGCTGAGCCACCAAGCCTGGCCTTGATTACCTAGTTTAAGATGGGATGAGACATGAATGCTATTACATTTCAATACTTCTTTGAGCTTGATAATTTAAAGGAACTCATATTCCTCAGATAAAAAGTGTCTTTCCTTTTTCATGTTGGAAATCTGCTAAACCCAAAGTCACCTAGATTTTCTTCTGTGTTATCTTTTAGAAGTTTTATAGTTGGCTTGGCGTGGTGGCTCAAGCCTGTAATTCCAGCATTTTGGGATGCCGAGGAGAGAGGAGTGCCTGAGCCAGGGGATTCTAGACCAACCTGGGCAACTTGGCAAGACTTTGTCTCTACAAGAAATAAAAAAATTAGCTGGGTATGGTGGCGTGCATGCATGTAGTTCCAGCTACTTGTAAGGCTGAGGTGGAAGGATCGCCTGATCCCAGCAGGTCTAGGCTGCGGTGGCCATAAACATGTCATGGCATTCTAGCCTGGGCAACAGAGTGAGGCTTCAACTCAAAAAGTTTTATAGTTTTTGTGTCTTACATTAAGTCTGTGATTGCATTTTGAGTTAATATTTGTCAAAGGTGTAAGGTCTGTGTCTATATTCATTTTTTGCATATGGATGTTGTTCCAGCACCATTTGTTAAAAAGACTGTCCTTTCTCCATTGAATTGTCTTTGCTCCCTTTCTTTTTTTAATTTTTTATTTTTTGAGTTGGAGTCTCACTCTATCACCCAGACTGGAGTGCAGTGGCACGCTCACTGCCACCGCAGCCTCCAGCTGCTAGATTCAGACAATCCTTCTGCTTCACCCTTCCAAATAGCTGGAACTACAGGTGTGTGTGCCACCATGCTCAGCTAATTTTTTGATTTCTTGTAGAGACGAAGTCTTGCCATGTTACCCAGGCTGGTCTCGAACCCATGGGCTCTGGCAGTCTGTTCACTTTCACCTCCCAAAGTGTTAGGATTACAGGCATGAGCCACTGCGCCTGGCCTCTTTGCTCCCTTTCAAAGACTAACTGATTGTATTTGTGTGGGTCTATTTCTGGGTTATCTGTTCAGTTCCAGTGATCTATTTGTCTTTTATTTTGGCCAATACCACATTGTCTTGATTACTATAGTTTTGTAGTAAGTCTTGAAGTCAAGTAATATCAGTCCTCTAACTTTGTTCTTCTTCATCACTGTTGGTTGCTCTGTTTCTTTTGCCTTTCTGTACAATCAGTTTGTTGATTATGTGTTAGGGTTTTTACTGGGGTTGTGCTGTCCATGAACATTGACCGTCTCTCCATTTATTTAGATTGGTTTTTTTGGTTTCTTTCACCAGAGTTTGGTAGTTTTCTTCACATACATCTTTTTTTTTCTTCTTTTAATTTTTATTTAAAATTGTGAGGTACAATTCAGGGTTAGGTATACAAATATTCACTGTGCAGTTTCCCTTATCGGTGAGGTGTGTTCCCCCCTTCCCCAGGCAGATATTGACTACTGTCAATCCCACCTCCCCACCTCTTCACCTCCCTCCCCGCAGTTTCCCACCACTTTCAATCCTTTTCTTATAGTAATACGGTAGTTGTTCAAGGTCCACTTATGAGTGAGAACATGTGATACTCAGCTCTTTGTTTCTGTGAGAGATCACTCAGTATTAAAAACTCTAATTCCATCCAGGCTGCTGCAAAGTTCATGATTTTGCTCTTCCTTATGGCTGCGTAGTATTCCATTGTGTATATGTACCACATTTTTTTTATCCACTCCTCTTTTGGTGGGCAGCACAGTTAGTTCCATGTTCTTGCTATTGTGAACAATGCTGTGATAAACATACGTGTGCAGGTATCTTTTTTAATAGAGTGACCTGAGTTCTTCCAGGTATATTCCCAGTAGGGGAATTTCGGGGTCATATGGAAGTCAATTTTTAGAATTTTTAGGAATTGCCACACTGATTGCCACAGAGGCAGAACTAGTTTGCACTCCCACCAACAGTGTAGAAGTGTTCCCTTTTCGCCACATTCTCTCCAGCATCTGTTATTTTTTGAGTTATTGATGTTGACCATTCTGATTGGAGTTATGTGGAATCTCAGTGTAGTTTTTTGTTGTTGTTTTTTTTTGAGTTGGAGTCTCACTCTGTCGCCCAGACTGGAGTGCAACGGCACGCTCCCAGCCACTGCAACCTCGACCTGCTGGGCTCCGGTGATCCTTCTGCCTCAGCCTTCCAAGCAACTGGAACTACAGGTGCGTACTACCACGCCCTGCTAATTTTTTGATTTATTGTAGATATGAGGTCTCACCAAGTTGCCCAGGTGGGTCTCGAACCCGCGGGCTCAGGCAATCCACTCACCTTAGCTTCCCAAAGCGCAGGACTCAGTGTAGTTT